TTATTCATTTAAATCAAATTGTACTCGTGGCCAAAGCCTAAAATTTTCTAAAGAATTTTTTAGTACATAAGTATAGAGAAAATATTTTGCTTAATCGAGCTGCAAATTATTGGAATGCACTGCCAGAAAATATTGTCAGGGCTACTTCAACGAATTCATTCAAAACAAAACTTGATCGATGGGAGTCAAACCATCACAGGGATTCAGCTTTCTTAGTGTGCTTAAAACCACACTCACTGGTATCAATACCAGTCACAGCATAAACTAATACTAATACTAATACTATATATATATATATATATATATATATATATATATATATATATATATATATATATATATATAGTATATATATATATATATATATATATATATATATATATATATATATATATATATATATATATATATATATATATATATATATATATATATATATATATATATATATATATATATATATATATATAACACAGACACACAAAATATCATTACTATTCTATAAAACACAAAGTGAAAAGTCTTGGTGCAATTTTGATGTCTTTTGTTAAAATTTCCTCATTAAAATTTTTGTTAAAATTTCCTCATACTTGTTAAAATACTTTTGTTAAAATTTCCTCATACTTGTAACTTAATAACTAAACTCAATTTTCTTTTATTTAAATATTGTATCGATTGTAGTTTATAGATAATATAGTATAGAATATAGAAAATTAAAAAGTATCTTTAAACGATAAATAACTAAACAAAATTAATAATCTCAAAATAATCAACCAAAACAAGTAGACATATTTAATTAACCGAGTTAGCGCATAATATTATATGCGCCAAGTTGATAATATTAATTTTGCTACTTATTTTTAAGGTAATTAGGACGTCTAATGTAGGTCTTAGCGACGTCAATAGGACGTCTTAATATGGAAGTCCTAATATCGTCTTTATATTAACGTCACAAGGACGTCCTAACAAAGACGTCTTTACCAGACGTCTTTAGGACGTCCTAATTTGGTCTGAGACGTCGCGACCTAGTTAAGACGTCCGTAAGACGTTTGATTGACGTCTGTGCCCGCTGGGATTGATCTCCTTTCTAGACTGAGAGAGAAAACCTGTATTTTTACGTTGTTTTATAACTAAAATACAAAACTCCAATATAAAATAAGTTAATAAAAGAAAGTTGCAATATCATTATGCTATCATAATGATATCATTATTTAATATTATAACTTGAGAAAGTTTTAATATCATTCTGATATCAAATTGATGTCGCTTCGTGATTGGGTGGAGCCTGGGAACAATTAAAACCCTAATTTTTTGCCCCTCCCTCTTGCCCCAAACGTGAGAGCAACAAATTTTCAAATTTTTTTTTTACTATTCTTTGCTAAGTTCATTTTTTATAAGAAATTTTAAATTTTGTGCAATAATTTTATAGCGTTCAAAAATATAGGTTATTTAAAATTTTAACTCCCCTCAATTTGAGGTGGTTACAAATTTAGGTTGACATAATTCTTGAACTATGAAAGATTTTTTCATAAAACTTGAAATTTTTAAATTTAAGTGAACTTAGTTAAGAATAGTTTATAAAAAAAACTATGAATTTGTTGCTCTCCCTTTTAGGGCAGGGGGCAAGATTTACAGATTTTTTTAGTTCCTTGGCTCCAAATATTTCAATATTTTTACAAAACTTTCTTGTTTTGACACTAGTATAATTATATAAATGTTTGAAGTTTACCCTATGTTTATAATTTTGTATCTAAAACACCAAAAAACGCTTGATTTGCTACTGAGTTAAAATTTCTTTTGCAAAGTGATTATTTGAAAAAGCGTATAAATCCAAAAGAGGAATGGTTTTTATTTTGTTTTCAATGGAATACTTTTTCAAACCCAACCGAAGTATTGATATCTTTTGAAACATCTTGTGTACCTTTTAGGTCAACCTAAAACCTCTAAATCGAAGCAGTGTGTGATAAGACCGTTAGGACTGCTTGGGTCACCTAAATAAAATAGTAAAAAAAAAAAAAAAAATTGGAGATAGAGAGGGTCGCCAGTTTCAAGAAAAACGGACTAAAAAATTTTTTTTTCTTGCAGAATGGTAAGCCAATTTGTTTGCTATGTAATGAATCAATTTCAGTGAATAAAGAATTTAATATAAAGAGGCATTACTTAACTAAGCATCCTAGGCTTTACTCACTGACAGGTCAAACAAGAAAAGAGAAAATCCAAAAACTTACCGCGAATTTGAAAAAGCAGCAGTAAACATTTGTTAAACAAAAAACACAGCTTGATAATGTTGCTAAACCATCGTCAGTTTAAGACGTTTTTGGATGAACTATCAACCGAATATGACGACGTAACATCTTATTGTGAGGTCAGATGGCTAAGCAAAGGGAAAATGCTGAAACGCTTTTATGAGATAAGAAATGAGATTGCAGATTTTATGCAAATAAAAAACAATTTTTTTCATTTAATTTTGTTATTTGAATAAATTGTATTACGATATCAATGTCTTATTATTTCATGTTTGATATATATCATTAAAAAATATGACTTACTTTATTAAAGTACTGCTTTAAAATGTGGTACTTTTAAACGCGGCCCGCGAACGTATTTGCACACTAAAGTTTGGCTCACACCATGTCAAAGGTTGCCCATACCTGGTTTAGAGCTTTATTTTCCTTGAGTAACGGATTCGCACTTTTATACCTATCTGCGCCAAAAACTAATTGACTTGCTTTTGTTTTGTATAAATATTTTTAGCAAAGATGAGTAATTGTTTGCTCAGACAATATTACAATAGTTAGTATAACTATGTATAGATGAATAGTATAAATTTTTATACATATTTTATTCAAAAGTTGCTTTGTCTTGTACATAATCCCCATAGCCTTTGAAACTTTATTCTTGACTAACTTTATTTGGCTTTTCCAATTTAAATGTTCAACAAAAATTGTTCTAGGTATTTTCATTGAAAAAAACTTATTTTGATATTTTTAATTGTTAGTTCTGGTAGTAATAATTTTTAAGCTATAATATAACAAAATAAAATAAAAGGCTGGAGCAAGAAGAAGTTCTGGTAGTTTATGTGGAAAGTTCTCGGATTTAGATGGTTTAACAAACAAAATATATTTCGTTTTGTCAGTACTTAATGAAAGTTATAAAAGTCATAAACCTCTCAAGGTTTCTTTATATCTATATGGCTGTTTCTGGGGCACATAAAAGTCTAGTTTTTTTAAATTGTTCAATATTTTAAGATGAAAAATTAAGTCTTCACATATCTAGGGTAGTAATCTCAAGCCGTAGTAGTCGCTCCTCGTACAATAAATGTTAGATTGTCGTAAAAGTTTTTGTCGTTTCGATCTGTACTTTTCTTAAGGAAAAATATGAACGAGAGTGTATGCAAATATCTAACGTAAGTTAACTTTAAAATATATAATGTTAAAAGTTAAATCAGGTTTTGCAGTTTTACTTTTAATTAGAAAATGCATTGCGGAAACGTCTTCTTATTTTTGATTTATAAAGATTTTTGTAATCAAAAAAAAATTTAAAAGTTTAAAAAGTTTAAAAAGCTTTGTTTGAAAATTTTTATTGGACAATAAGCCTTAGTGGCCGGATAGACTAAGTTGCAGAGTTTCTGAAGTGGAACGCAGTGGTTCAAATCTTACCACCTACACTTTTTTTTTATAACCTTTTTCAACTTTTTAAAATACAAAGTAAAACACTTTTGAAGTTTAATAGACATTATATAAATATATCATATAATAAAACAAGTGAGAAAATTAAATAAAGAAGAAGCAAGTCCTGCTACTCCAGAAAAAGCTGCTGTGGAGGCAAAAAAAAAAAAAGTTTGCCCGTAGCTAGAAAAATATTTAAATTTTATTATAAA